AAATTTCAAAAAGAATTTTCCCGGATTGTTTAAAAACCCTTCTAAAACTTTTTAAATCTATTTAGTTTGGTTTAACAGCTTTTTACTTTATTTTTATCTATAATGTTATTGTTTAATAACTCCATTGATATTGGAAATTTCTGGCGCTGTTTTAGTAAAACTTTATTTTCATTTTACTGTTTCCCTTTAGTTTTTTAAATCACATTTATTAGAATTTCTTAGAAAAAAAAATTAAATAAAAAATTAGTTTGTTTTATTTGAAACAAAGTTCAAGACAATTAAGTGTAAATTTTTTTGACGAGCAGCAAAATATTTATACTCTGTTGAAGGAATTTATGAAAATAGAAAGGAGTCTTTTATTTGTGGCAAGCATTCGAAATTTGTTAAACAAAAAAACAATTCTAAAGGATGTGCGTTTAATAAAATTAAACAAAAATTTGTTTGCAACATACTCTTATGATTAAAAAATTGTATAATTTGTTTGATTTCGGTTTTGTTTTTGATCTCTTAAGAGTGATCATCAAATTTCTTTAGGAAATATTTCATCTCTCCCAAGAGATCATTAATTTCTTTAGGAAAATTTTGATCTCAACCAAGAGATCATCAATTTCTTTAGGAAACTTTTGATCTCAACCAAGAGATCATCAATTTCTTTAGGAAACTTTTGATCTCAACCAAGAGATCATCAATTTCTTTAGGAAACTTTTGAACTTTTCTAAAAGATCATCAATTTCTTTAGGAAGTTTTGATCTCTTCTGAAAGATCATCAATTTCTTTAGGAAGTTTTTGATCTCTTCTGAAAGATCATCAATTTCTTTAGGAAATTTTTGATGTCTCTCAAGAGGTCTCTTTCTAAAGTTCATCAATTTCTTTAGGAAATTTTCCATCTCTCCCGAGTGATCATCAATTTCTTTAAGAAAGTTTCGATCTCTCCCGAGAGATCATCAATTTCTTTAGGAAATTTTTCATCTCTCCCGATAGATCATCAATTTCATTAGGAAATGTTTGATCTCTCACGAAAGATCATCAGTTTCTTTAGGAAATTTTTGATCTCTCACGAAAGAACATAAATTTCTTTAGGAAATTTTTCATCTCTCCCGAGAGATCATCAATTTCATTAGGAAATGTTTGATCTCTCACGAGAGATCATCAATTTCTTTAGGAAATGTTTGATCTCTCCCGAAAATCATCACTTTTTTAAGAAAATGTTTGATGTCTCCCGACAGATCATCAATCTTAGTTCCTTCCAAAAAGATTTTTGATCTCTCCCGAGAGATCATCAATTTCTTTAGGAAATTTTGACCCTCTCCCGAGAGACCATCAATTTCTTTAGGAAATTTTCGATCTCTCCCGAGTGACCATCAATTTCTTTAGGAAATTTTCCATCTCTCCCGAAAGATCATCAATTTCTGTAGTAAATTTTTGATCTCTTCTGAAAAATCATCAATTTCTGTAGTAAATTTTTTATCTCTCCCGAGAGATCATCAATTTTCTTTAGGAAATTTTTTATATCAGACAAAAGATCACCAATTTCTTTACGAAATTTTTGATCTGTCCCGAGAGATCTTCAATTTCTTTAGGAAATTTTTGATCTGTCCCGAGAGATCATCAATTTCTTTAGGAAATTTTTCATTTCTTCCAAGAGATCATTAACTTCTTTAGGAAATTCTTGATCTCTTCCAAGAACACATAATTTACTTTAGAAAATTTTTGATCTCTCCCGAAAGATTATCAATTTCTTTAGGAAATTGTTCATCTCTCCCGAGAGACCAAAAATTACTTTAGGAAATTTTTGATATCTCCCAAGAAATCATCAATATCTTTAGGAAATTTTTGACCTTTCTTTAGAAACTTATCCATCTCTCTTGAGATCTCTTTCAAGAGATCTACATAAATTTCCTAAGAAAATAATATAACTCTACCAAAAGAGATCGTCAATCTCTAAATAATCCAATATCATTACAACTTTCAAACTTCTCAGGGATTTGTTTTCTTCATCAACACTTTCAAAGCGTTAAGTTTTTAAATTGTTTCTAATAATTTAATAATTTTTTTTGTTTTATTATTTGTTTTTGTACGCTTTTTACAATTGGATTTTCGTTATAATATAATTTAATTCTTGTTTAGTTTGTATTTTCATAAAGAGATTTTTCATGTTATGTATAAATTACATTTCTTTTTAATAATTCTATTTTTTTTTTTAACAAATGAGTATGTTGTTGTCGTTTTGTTGTAATGTCAGTTGTTGTTAAGTCATTATTTAAATAAATATATATGCATCACAGGATAATAAAAAAAAGAAAAAAAAATATTTAATAACATATAATATTTGATTTTTTTTTTCTGTTTTGTTAAATATTACTTCTTTTTTTTGTTGTTTTTATTCTTTTGTTTAAATAGTTGTTAGGGGTGCTATGGTTGCTGCTGCAATCAAATTTGTAGTTGCCTGCTGTAGTATGCTTTCATCTCCTGTATCATCCTCAATTAATTTATTCACATCATAATTGTCATCGATTTCGGTGTTGCTTGTTGTTATTGTTGAATATTGTGTTGCTGCACAGCAACTGGGGGTTTGTTGTCATTGTCTCGGTGGCATTGCTGGTCCATGTTCTCGATAAGTTTTCAATTTTGTTTCGATTGCCTGGAAAAGATCATTAAATTGTATTAAAATGAGAATTTTTTATAAAATTAGGAACATTTTTTTTTTTGTCTTTTTGCGAAGTTATTGAACCTTAAATATTCTTCACCATCAGAGATCATCAATTACTTTAGAAAATTTTTGATCTCTCTCAAGAGATCATCAATTTCTTTGGAAATTTTTGATCTCGCCCGAGAGATCAACAATTTCTTTAGGAAATTTTTTATCTCTCCCGAGAGATCATCAATTTCTTTAGGAAATTTTTCATCTCTCCCGAGAGATCATCAATTTCTTTAGGAAATTTTTCATTTCTCCCGAGAGATCATCTATTTTTTTAGGAAATTTTTCATCTCTCCCTAGAGATCATCTATTTCTTTAGGAAATTTTCATCTCTCCCGAGAGATCATCAATTTCTTAAGGAAATTATTCATCTCTACCGAGAGATCATCAATTTCTTTAAGAAATTTTTAATCTCTCCCGAGAGATCATTAATTTCTTTAGGAAATTTTTGATCTATTCTCAGAGATCATCAATTTCTTTAGGAAATTTTTCATCTCTCCTCAGAGATCATCAATTTCTTTAGGAAAATTTTCATCTCTCATGAAAGATCATTAATTTCTTTAGGAAATATTCGATCTCTCCCAAGAGATCATCAATTTTTTTAGGAAATTTTCGATCTCTCCCGAAAGATCATTAATTTGTTTAGGAAATTTTTGATCTCTCCCGAGAGATCATCAATTTCTTTAGGAAATTTTTCACCTCTCCCGAGAGATCATCTATTTCTTTAGGAAATTTTTGATCTATCCCGAGGAATCATCAATTTCTTTAGAAAATGTTTCACCTCTCCCGAGAGATCATCAATTTATTTTGGAAATTTTTGATCTCTCTCAAGAGATCATCAATTTCTTTGGAAATTTTTGACTTCTCCCGAGAGATCATCAATTTATTTTGGAAATTTTTGATCTCTCTCAAGAGATCATCAATTTCTTTGGAAATTTTTGATCACTCTCGAGAGATCATCAATTTCTTTAGGAAATTTTCGATCTCTCCCGAGAGATCATGATTTTCTATAAGAAATCTTTGATCTCTCTCGAGAGATCATCAATTTGTTTAGAAAATTTTAGATCTCTCCCGAGAGATCATCAATTTCTTTTGGAAATTTTTGATCTCTCCCGAAAGATCATCAATTTCTTTAGGAAATTTGTGATCTCTCCCGAGAGAGATCATCAATTTCTTTAGGAAATTTTTGATCTCTCCCGAGAGATCATCAATTTCTTTAAGAAATCTTGATCTCTCCCAAGAGATGATCAATTTCTTTACGAAAGTTTCGATCTATCCCGAGAGATCATCAATTTCTTTAGGAAATTTTTGATTTCTCCCGAGAATTCATCAATTTCTTTAGGAAATTTTTGATCTCTCCCGAGAGATCATCAATTTCTTTAAGAAATCTTGATCTCTCCCAAGAGATGATCAATTTCTTTACGAAAGTTCCGATCTATCCCGAGAGATCATCAATTTCTTTAGGAAATTTTTGATTTCTCCCGAGAATTCATCAATTTCTTTAGGAAATTTTCGATCTCTCCCGAGAGATCATTAATTTCTATAAGAAATCTTTGATCTCTCTCGAGAGATCAACAATTTGTTTAGAAAATTTTAGATCTCTCCCGAGAGATCATCAATTTCTTTTGGAAATTTTTGATTTCTCCCGAGAATTCATCAATTTCTTTAGGAATTTTCGATCTCTCCCGAGAGATCATTAATTTCTATAAGAAATCTTTGATCTCTCTCGAGAGATCATCAATTTGTTAGAAAATTTTGGATTTCACTTAAGATATCATTAGTTTATATAGCAAACTTTCGATCTCTCCGGAGAGATTAACTACTTCTATAGGAAATTTTTAAGATTCAGTAAGTTTTCAATATTTTAAGCAAATATAATGGTGGTATTTGGGCCTTATGTGAGTTATGAAGCTTAAACATAAAATATAACAAAGAAACAATTAATAATATAAAAAATTTATTAAAAAAAATATTTAATACATAAAATTATTAGGCTACAGTTATATAAATAAAAATTATATAATTAAATAAAATTAAATTAAACATTAAATATTAATACAGAAAATTGTAAGTTTTTTTTTCCAACTAAAAGTAGGTCTTTCTTAATAAAATCTACTAAAGCTAACAAAACGAACACTAGTATCTTTTTGTATTAATTTGTATTTAAACTTGTTAAGCTTTATATAATTTCATCAGTCCATTTTTAAATTTTTACGAAAAAAAATAATCTCTATGTCTTTTTTGGTCTAATCATATTAAATATTTATATTATTTGGTATTTCACTACTATTGGAGGAATTTCTTAAAGTGCCGCAAAAATATTATTATTTGAACTCATGCGTTCAGCAAAACGTTTAAAAATGTTTGAGCCAAAATTTAAACTTGTATTACTGCGACTGGTGGAGCGACGCAATAAAACATTATTATTGTCGGGGGCATCTTCTGACACCGACGACATTTGGGTATCATCATTATTTGCCTTAGATGTTTTGTTGGTGGAGGAGAAAGTGGTGGAATTTGTGGTGGTGTTGACTTTCGTTCTTTCACATATACAACTAAAACGATCACATTGAGGACATAAAAGTGCTTTATCCAACTGAAAGATAATTTATATAGAATAGAATTTTTGAGGTTGTGTTTTTAACGAAATTTTTTTCTTTTTTTTTAAGGGTTTAGACCAAAGGTTAGTCTTTGTTTTTTTTTCAGTTCCTTTAAGAATGTATGCAATTAATGTTACTGTTAGAAAAATGTAAAAGAATGTAATATTAGAAAGTTGTTTTGAAAAGGTTTATAAGTAACAATGCATGGACATTAGGACTACAAGTAGTATGAAGGAAAGTAAGAAATTTAAGCTTTTTTTAAGGTAGAATTCATTTTTAATGTTTAGTGCAATGGAATTAGTAAGAGATGTACTTGTATGTTGTATTTAAAAGTGAAATTAAGAAATGTTTTTTATATAGAAGAAAATTTAGAATTTCATATTTATCCACAACTTCAATATTCTAATCTTTATGTTGCTAGTTGGAAAGTCAAATTTGTATGCCCTTTTAAAAATGTTATAAACTTTAGAGCTTAATTGCGTTTTGTATCTGGTATTGAATTCAATTATTCTTATTTCGTAAACTTCATTTTTGATTTGTTTATCATGGACACAAACCAATACTTAATAGTGAATATCATAGTTTTAACAAAGACACAAACAATTTAAAGCACACACACATGCATGAAACGAAGGAGGAAAAATCTGAAAAATCGGAAGTCAATCTCTAACAAATCATAAGATATCCAAAGTCGAACCGATACGATGCCTTAAAATTCATTGTTAGTGATAATCTGTGGCAAACATATCGTTTAAAAACAGAGACTTAGACTAAAAGGTATTAAAGTTAAATGAGGGAAACTAACGTTCATGCGCGAATCGAGGAACATAAAGAACAAGTGCTGACTGTATGTGAATGGTCTCACGTTAAGAGACTACTTTGAGAAAACTAGTGCCATTTCGATGTCGATGTCTGATGAGTAGCAAGATGATTTGTTTTAGTCGGATTTGTTTGTTTGCTCTTCTACCGATTAGTCGAAGGCTAAGAAAGAAAGAACTGCAATGTCAAAGACAAAATCTTGTTCAATAGTTTGCGTTGGAGTGAAAGCTAAAAGCATGACAAGGCAATACCTGGCATCAGATCTCTGAATCAAATGACGAAGAGATATTCTTCGTTTACAGCGTTAACACACCCTACCAAACATTGCAATTAGGATTGCGGGAGCAATAAGGACGTCGCCAACAAAAGCCTTGCTAACTGTAACGAATTAGTTACCAGCTGTCCTGATGGTAATACAACTAGCCCTTAATTCTGAAATCAGACAAACCTATGTGATTCGTGGTCTGGCAAGTAAAGACAATCCTTGCAGCTTAATGTAGACTATTGCATTGCTAAACCTTATTGCAACAGAAGCTATCATATCCGAATTCCTGCTAGACGTTCCCACGACAATTGGATCTTCGCTCCGGAACGACCCCAAGTCATACTCGGCCAAAGATTGTCAACCCAGCGACAGCTGTATCAACCGAAAGTTTTTTCCCAGGAAAGAACTATCGGCCACAGTGGAACTGTTACAACAACAACAATTCCTGCTAGGAATTCAGTAACGAGTCCCACTCAACCAATGATGTAACGAATGTTTACACTAATGGCTCCAAAAGGAGTAAAAGTTATGAGTTCTGGGTTTTACATTGAAAGATTTGGAATTAAATTTGATACTACCTTTAAGGCACACCAAAGTTGCGACCAAAAAGTCACTGGTTCAGACTAAACTATATGAAATCGGTCAAATTAGATGGTTTAACTCCCAACATCAAGCTTATTGTTGAGCATTCGCAGGGATCAAATAAGAATGCTGCTATCAATCATAACGAGACCACTATGCAATTGGCAAGTACGTCAGAAAAATGGGTCTCGAATACAGCGATTACTTTAGAAGTTGTCATAATGAGGAAGAAGTGGAAATAATACCTCACCAACTTTGCTATTGCCCATTATTCATTGAAAGCAGAAAACAATGTTTCGGGTTTGATGCTCTCTCTTGTTTGATGAAGCTAACTGGGATATGCTTCAAAAATATCTTAAACTTTGTGAATCAAATCGGTTGGTTTAAACCTAGAAGTAGTGAGTAGTACTTTAATGGACTCCTATGAACACTAGGTCATCACAAGGGCACCGCAATAGGGTGAACCCACCTGGGCCACTCAAGATTGTTTGAGTGGCTAGCCTTCTTACCCAAACCTAAATAAGAAAATTTTTGAAAATTCTATAAAAAAAGGCAAATTTTTAAAAATTTCTTTAAAATAGTTAAATTTCGAAATTTCCTAATTATGTTGGTTTTTAAATTCCCTAAAAATAAGCAAATTTTGGAAAATTTCCCTATAATTGAAAAATTTCTTGAAATATGGAAACAAATTTAAAATTTTTACTAAAAATAGAAAAATTTTTCATAGAAAGACAAATTTCAAAAATTATCCAAATTTCCTTAATTAGTTTTTTGTCTAAAATAGACAAATTTCTCTATAAATGAAAAATGTTGAAATTCTCCCAAAAATGTCCCTAAAAAGTTTGAAAATTTCCCCAAAATTATGCAAATTTTGAAAATTTCCCCTTAAATGGATTTTAATTTTTTTTTTTTTAATTTTAAAAAATATTAATTTCCCTTAAATTGACAAATTTTTACAATGTCCCCAAAAATGAAAAATTTTGTCTAAATGAAAAAAATTTCCTGAAAATAGAAAAATCTTTTAAATTTCCCCAAAAGACGAAAATTTCAAAAATTTTCTTATATGTCTATAGAAAAATTTCTCAAAAATAAACAAAATTTTTAAATTTTCTGAAAAATTGAACAAAAATGGAATTTCTCTTAAAATTAACAAATTTTAAAAATTTCCCAAAATTTTTTCGAAAAAATTTTCCAAAATTGGATGATTTTCAAAAAATTTTCATTAAACTGAACAAAATTTCCTTATAAATAGATAAAATTTTAAAAATTTCCCTAAAAATATACAAATATTGAAAATTTCCTCAAAATAGAACAATTTTTTTTAATTATCCCAAAAGTGGGAAAATTTCGAAAAATAGGGAAATATTTGAAAAATATCCCAAAAATAGAAACATTTTGAAAACTTTTCTTGAAAATTATTGTAAATTTCCCTTAAAATTGACAAATTTTAAAATTTCCCCAAAAATAGACAACTTGGAAAAAAAATTTCCCCCAAAATTGGACAAATTTCGAAAATTTTTCTCTAAATGTAAAAAAATTTCCCTAAAAATAGATAAAATTTTAAAAATGTTTCTAAAAAAATAAATTTTAAATTTAAAATATTGAAAATTTTCCTCAAAATAGAAAAAAATTTTAAATTTCCTTAAAAAGGAATATTTCAAAAATTTCCCCATATATATGAATATAGAAATATTTGAAAATTTTCTCAAAAATAAACAAAATTTTTAAAATTTCCGAAAAAATTTAAAAAAAAAATCGAAATTTCTCTTAAAATTGACAAATTTTAAAACCTTCCCCAAAAATAGACAACTTTTGCAATAATTTCCCCAAAATTGAACAAATTCGAAAATTGATCTCTAAATGGAAAAAAAAATTCCCTAAAAATAGATACAATTTTAAAATTCCCCTAAAAATAGGCAAATTTTTAAAGTTATCCTAAAAATAGACAAATATTGACAATTTTCCTCAAAGTAGAAACATTTTTTAAAAATGGAATATTTTCAAAAATTTTGAAAATTTTTCTAAAACTAAAAATATTTTGAAAATTTTCCCAAAAATAAGACAAATTTTGAAAATTTGCCAAAAATATCAATTTTTTTAAATTTCCTCAATAATAGAGAGAAATTTTGAAAATTACACTAAAACTAACAAATTTTTTAAAAATTCCAATTATTTTAAAAATTATATGTTTTTTGACAAATTTTTATATTTGTAACCAATTTTACCATCACTTTTACTTGTTGTCTTGTAAGAATAAAATTGATGTTTTTACAAAGTTTCTGTTTTAAATTACGATAAATCAACGATTTTTCAAAACCCCCAACGTCTATTATATTAATAATTATGTTCATTATTTCTTAAACAAATGACATTTAAATTATACTAGACAATAACAAACAAAACAAATAGACAAACACATATTTCTTAAACAACAATTGGAGACAGATAAGAAATAATATTATCATCAAAGTTTTTTTTCGTATGGATAAAACACTTAGTTTTTCTAGACTTGTTTTTTTGTTAGAACAAATAAATAATTAAACAAAATTTATTAGAAAATTAAACATGCATTAAAAATGAACTATAACTAAAACAAAGAGATTATTTTATAAGTAGAAAATTACACAAAAATCCCACACCATTTTTAATAAATTTTAAAAACTTTATACTTACATTTAATTTTCTGAGCATATCAGTGACAATGTTAAATGCTGTCGTACGTGAACTAGCAGTCATTGCATTACCATTAAGTAAATTATCCGGATCGGCAAATGGTTTTCCTAGATTTAGCAAAACAAAAAAACAATACAAATTACCATTTTTCATATTAAATTTCAAATAGAGGAAGGAAGTATTAAACTAAAAAATAACTAAAAAAATAGGAAAGGTAGTAGAGGGATAAAAGATTAATAGAATTTACACAGGGGGGGACAAACACAACACAAATGCACTTTGATTAACTAAATATAAATGAACAAAATTACTTAATTATGTGAAATGATTTACGACAATTATGATGAAGATGAAATGAACCTGCTGATGATTTTATTATTTTTTTTTTTTTTTTAATTAATGAGCATTTTTACAATGTATTTATTAACATTAATAGAAAAATAACTTAACATTTATAAATATTATACATACAAAAGAATGTTTGAATAAAAAATGTAATTGAGTCACTTTTATAAAAAATTATCTCAATTAAAGTAAAAGAATTTTTTTAAAATCTTTTTAAAATTTACACAATTTTTAGGAATACAAATAGGAATTTTAAATAGTATTTGTTTTAAATCAAAAAACACAAAAGTACAAATTGTATACAACTTACAAAATTAAAGAATATCTGAAAAAGTATTTGCTAAAAACAAAATATTAAAAAAACGTTTTAAACTAACAAATAAATACTAATAGTCTTACCTAGACAACTTTTAACTGACGAAAAAAAATGTCTGTTACCAGTTGTTCAAATATAACCATCGTTAAAGCAAAAAAATATGTAAATTTCCATTACAACATAAAAGACAAAGAAATGATAAAATGCATAATGAAACAAAAAAATAAAATAAAAATATACATACGCTACAGTAAATAAAAAAACTTACATTACAAATATTAAGAGATTAACACTTAAAATATGTAAAAATACAAATAAATAAAAAGCGTATAAATATAATAAGATAATAATAAAATAATAAATAAAATGTGCTTTTTTATAGTGTTTGTTTGTGTGTTGTGATTTAGACCCCTGTGTGTATTTTCTTTTTTTTCAACAAAAATTCTTAATCTTTTTTACGATACTTTTTAGTTAATTTTAAAGCGTGTCTGGTTTGTTTTAATGAACGGCATATCTTACTTTTAATGAACGCTGTTGTAATTGATAATCATTAATATTTGTTGCTGTATTATTTGTTGTTCCTAACGTATTGGTATTATTAAGGGCTGCTGTATCGTGCGACTGCAACATTATATCACCATTAATGCCATTGGGTGTGGTAACTTCAGAACCAGAACCCACCACCAGACCGCCATTCTGTGTTCCGTTTGTGGAGGTGTAACGTGTTTTCACATTAAGTTCTTGTTTAAGATCTGTAAGCAAATAGAAAATATTTAATACAATTATATAAATTAGATAAAATACAAATTGTATCTACCTCTCGTTTCATCCATTAATCTTTGTAGTTTTCTTGTAAAACTTCTTTTTCATCTACTTCCATTTCAAGTAATGCATTCTTTTCATATGCTTTATCCAGCATTCGTTCAAAATCTACAATACTTTCATTTAGTATACGATGCGCTCGTTCTAAATCATCATTTTTCTGTTCCAACTGTCGCAGGTATCTTTCATGGAATCTCGTTCTTTTTTCATATTTTCCAATTGTTTTTCAATGCTATTTAATTCCATACTATGTGATTCGAGTTTGATCTAAATTAAAAAAGATTTAAAGAATTATGTAGTACTGAACTAGAACTGAACTAGAACTGAACTAGAACTGAACTAGAACTGAACTAGAACTGAACTAGAACTGAACTAGAACTGAACTAGAACTGAACTAGAACTGAACTAGAACTGAACTAGAACTGAACTAGAACTGAACTAGAACTGAACTAGAACAACTGAACTGAACTGAACTAGAACTGAACTAGAACTGAACTAGAACTGAACTAGAACTGAACTAGAACTGAACTAGAACTGAACTAGAACTGAACTAGAACTGAACTAGAACTGAACTAGAACTGAACTAGAACTGAACTAGAACTGAACTAGAACTGAACTAGAACTGAACTAGAACTGAACTAGAACTGAACTAGAACTGAACTAGAACTGAACTAGAACTGAACTAGAACTGAACTAGAACTGAACTAGAACTGAACTAGAACTGAACTAGAACTGAACTAGAACTGAACTAGAACTGAACTAGAACTGAACTAGAACTGAACTAGAACTGAACTAGAACTGAACTAGAACTGAACTAGAACTGAACTAGAACTGAACTAGAACTGAACTAGAACTGAACTAGAACTGAACTAGAACTGAACTAGACTGAACTAGAACTGAACTAGAACTGAACTAGAACTGAACTAGAACTGAACTAGAACTGAACTAGAACTGAACTAGACTGAACTAGAACTGAACTAGAACTGAACTAGAACTGAACTAGAACTGAACTAGAACTGAACTAGAACTGAACTAGAACTGAACTAGAACTGAACTAGAACTGAACTAGAACTGAACTAGAACTGAACTAGAACTGAACTAGAACTGAACTAGAACTGAACTATAACTGAACTAGAACTGAACGAGAACTGAACTAGAACTGAACTAGAACTGAACTAGAACTGAACTAGAACTGAACTAGAACTGAACTAGAACTGAACTAGAACTAGAACTGAACTAGAACTGAACTAGAACTGAACTAGAACTGAACTAGAACTGAACTAGAACTGAACTAGAACTGAACTAGAACTGAACTAGAACTGAACTAGAACTGAACTAGAACTGAACTAGAACTGAACTAGAACTGACTAGAACTGAACTAGAACTGAACTAGAACTGAACTAAACTGAACTAGAACTGAACTAGAACTGAACTAGAACTGACTAGAACTGAACTAGAACTGAACTAGAACTGAACTAGAACTGAACTAGAACTGAACTAGAACTCAACTAGAACTCAACTAGAACTCAACTAGAACTGATAAAAAGACTCTCGCACGACGAATTTTTTTTTATAAGTTAATGTAAAAAGTGTTATCATTCTGGTAATTATGTCACAAAAATGTTTACTATAAATGTTTTAAACATGTTTATACCTTTAAAGCAAATATAGTAAATAGATTAATACGTTGGCTATATTCCAACTATTTTAAATTTAGACCTTATTAAATTCTTGGCGACATATTTCTGGCCACAATTTCATTGTGAAAAACATCTAAGAATACCGCTAATAGCTAATAAAAACACTTCATTCATTTTCTATAAGATTAATTCTGTGGTTTTAAATGCAAAATATCAAATCCAACAAATTATTATTATTATTTTTTTCTTCGGTATAAAAGTTATGAATAAGCTTTAGGCTATTAAAGGGTTACGTTATTATAATCAGGATTTCAACATGTTTCTATATTTAATAATATGTAAAATATTACGAAGAAAAGAAAAGGAAAAAATGTAATAAAAGTGATTTCTATGTTTTCTATTGAGCAAGTTTGCTACAAAAGGAAAATTGTCATAAAAAATAAATGTTTATAAAGCTAAAAATAGAGTTTTTAAAAGAGGTAATTAACAAATGCGAGAAACGTTATTGATTTTTTGCAATACACAATAGAAAACAAATGTAGCAGAAGTAACAACTCATTCTTTATTTATTTTATACATTTGGAAGAAATTGATTTGACAAAATGTTCTTTAGTTCATTTATTTCCTTTTAGCTCTAGACAATCAGACTATTGAACTTTCTCAATCAATATAAAAGTATATAAAATTATTTGTTACGTTGTTTAATCAAGTACTTAAAGAGATAATGAATTCAATGATTTTGATTAGAAAATTTACGTACATTTGCTGCTTTATATACCATACAAAGTGTACATTCTAATTTGTCAAATATAAATTAAAAAATTCTTGTTCTAGTCCAGTTCTGTTCTAGTTCATTCAGTTCTAATTCAGTTCTAGTTCCGTTCTAGTTCAGTTCTAGTTCAGTGCTGTTAAAGATCCCATTTTTCTAGTTCAGTTCTAGTCAGTTCTAGTTCTTCTAGTTCAGTTCTAGTTCAGTTCTAGTTCAGTTCTAGTTCAGTTCTAGTTCAGTTCTAGTTCAGTTTCCAGTTCAGTTCTAGTTCAGTTCTAGTTCAGTTCTAGTTCATTCTAGTTCAGTTCTAGTTCAGTTCTAGTTCAGTTCTAGTTCAGTTCTAGTTCAGTTCTAGTTCAGTTCTAGTTCAGTTCTAGTTCAGTTCTAGTTCAGTTCTAGTTCAGTTCTAGTTCAGTTCTAGTTCAGTCTAGTTCAGTTCTAGTCAGTTCTAGTTCAGTTCTAGTTCAGTTCTAGTTCAGTTCTAGTTCAGTTCTAGTTCAGTTCTAGTTCAGTTCTAGTTCAGTTAATTTCAGTTCGAGTTCAGTTGTAGTTCAGTTCCAGTTCAGTTCTAGTTCAGTTCTAGTTCAGTTCTAGTTCAGTTCTAGTTCAGTTCTAGTTCAGTTCTAGTTCAGTTCTAGTTCAGTTCTAGTTCAGTTCTAGTTCAGTTCTAGTTCAGTTCTAGTTCAGTTCTAGTTCAGTTCTAGTTCAGTTCTAGTTCAGTTCTAGTTCAGTTCTAGTTCAGTTCTAGTTCAGTTCTAGTTCAGTTCTAGTTCAGTTCTAGTTCAGTTCTAGTTCAGTTCTAGTTCAGTTCTAGTTCAGTTCTAGTTCAGTTCTAGTTCAGTTCTAGTTCAGTTCTAGTTCAGTTCTAGTTCAGTTCTAGTTCAGTTCTAGTTCAGTTCTAGTTCTAGTTCAGTTCTAGTTCAGTTCTAGTTCAGTTCTAGTTCAGTTCTAGTTCAGTTCTAGTTCAGTTCTAGTTCAGTTCTAGTTCAGTTCTAGTTCAGTTCTAGTTCAGTTCTAGTTCAGTTCTAGTTCAGTTCTAGTTCAGTTCTAGTTCAGTTCTAGTTCAGTTCTAGTTCAGTTCTAGTTCAGTTCTAGTTCAGTTCTAGTTCAGTTCTAGTTCAGTTCTAGTTCAGTTCTAGTTCAGTTCTAGTTCAGTTCTAGTTCAGTTCTAGTTCAGTTCTAGTTCAGTTCTAGTTCAGTTCTAGTTCAGTTCTAGTTCAGTTCTAGTTCAGTTCTAGTTCAGTTCTAGTTCAGTTCAGTTCTAGCTAGAACTGAACTCAGTTCTAGTTCAATTCCAGGTCAGTTCTAGTTCAGTTATAGTTCAGTTCTTGTTCAGTACTGTTAAAGATCCCATTTTTCACTTCATATCAATCATATTTTATAAAAATCTAAATTTTCAAACAATAGCAGATAAAGTGCTAGAGTTTGGTTTGAATATTTTAATATACAGGCAAATCCCGGTATAACGAATGATATAATGTCAGGCCCTTTCGTTAAATCGAAATATTCGTTATATCGGAATTATTTTTTCTAGTAAATTTATTTATTTAATGGACAAAAAACCATTCAAATTAATGTATGAAATTATTACTTCAAATTTTATTTCAAACAACTAATAACAACGCACACGTTTTTCCATTTTGAACATCTGAACGGATTGAAAAATTTGTGAAGGATTTTAGTTTTCTAACAACTTTAATTTCCTGCTATTTCCTTAACCTTATTTTATTATCTAGAAGATAGAATTAAACTCTTTTGAGAAAAAACTGAACTTGAGAATCGATAACTGAGTCTCATGCTGATAATTTCAAAACCCTGGAATATTGCGCCAAATTGGGGTATCGAAATAATTTATTTTGCTGTAAAATTTTATTATTTCAATGTATCCCTTTTAAACACGATTCAAGCTAAATTTACCATTAAATTCACATCTAACAGATTTATGCTTTTTAGATTATAATGTAAGGAATTTTGATCGATAGGTCAGATATGTAGTATAACTGAAATTAGGAATATGGGCGACTTCTTTCATTTTTACATTATATTCTAATTGCTCAATCAAGTTTTTGATCAAAAGCTGGATTTTTTTAGGTATTTTTTCTTTTTATTCGTTATATCGAGTATAAAATTTCTTAAACGTTCGCTATATAAGGTAGTTAATGTTAAAAATTTGGCTGTTCGTTATATCGGATTTTCGTTAAAGTGAGATTCGTTATACCGGGATTTGCCTGTAATTATAAAGGTCACAAAACCTAACTCTTACTTGTTTTTTAATTCCGGTTTTTGTTAGCTTTAAAAAAAGGATGATTTAACTAACCTTAAGTGATTCATTTTCTTTTTCCACTGATGATAATTTAAATCTGAGATCTTTAATTGTTGCCTGTTTTTGATCAATAGTAGCATCCATTTCGGCTTCCATTTCACGTGATTGCTCAACGTATTCGTCATACTCCTGCTTAACATCTGTCCACCTAAATATTGCAAAAAAAAATAAATAAGAAAATTTCACATTTTTTACAAATACAACAAACACTTACTCTTTGTGATAGAGTTTAGCCCTTTCCTTCCAATAACGACATTCGTCTTCAACACTATTAAACAGTGGAGGTGATTCCATCATAATTTTTTAGTTGTTGTTTGTATGTGGTCGTTTATGTGTGTGTATTTTTTGTTGGGTTGGGAGACTCTATCAAAGAGTTCAGTGAGCAAAAGTTTCGTTTCGTTTAAAATCCAGGGAAAATCGAATATAAATCCTTCCTGGTTTTAGGCTTTATTCGGGGGGAAAGTCTTTTAAATCAATTTTTTATAAATGTTGTAAAAAAAATTGTTCAAAGATTTTGTTTGTATCTAATGTTTTTTATATTTGCTTTCCCTGTTTTAATATCGTCGTCGTTTCGTTCTTTTTCTTTAAAAATTTTTCACAATTTTCACAAGTTTTTTTTTCTATAATGAAAAGATAAAATATAAATAAAAGTAAGATAAACACATATAAGTAGCACTGTAGTTATAATTTTTAAGTTGCTGGTGAAAAATCAATTAATTAACAAGTGTTTGTCTTAAGAAAATCCCACACTCTGCCACATTTTCTCTTTTTTCAGCAGTTTTTTTGTTAAAGCAACTGATTTTTCTACGTTGTTTTTTACGTTTATTTTTTTTCTATTGTTTTATTTTTCTTTTTCTAAATTTTTGTTTTTATTTTTACAATTGGGGTTTTCTTTTTGTTGTTGTGGTTGTTTCACTCCCGCTGTCACTTGAACTGCTCAGTAGCGTCAACAATAAAAAAAAACTTGTCTCGTCGCTGCGGCGAAGTACGGAAGCAACAACAAGCAAGCTAGTCAAGAAAAAAATCAGTGAAGTTTTTTTTTTCATCCGTTTTTGCTTCTTCTTTCTCAAGGCAAAATGAAATCATCGCTTTTATTTTTATTGTTTTCGTTTTATTTATTGCCAACCCAAAAGGTTTTCATTACTTTTGACGATTCCATAAATTTATAATATTATTTTTTCAGTAACACTTACTTTTTTTGTAAAATTTCTTTATTTTTTCTTAGTGAGTTTGGTAAAAGTTTGCAAAATAAAATTTTAGAACGAAACAATTGTGTGTTTGATATAAAAAATTTCACAGTTGTATAAAAAAGTACTTAGTGTGGCCAGATGTGTAAAATTTTTGAGGTATTTTGACGTTTTTAATTTCATGCAATTGGCTAATAGGAAAATTTAAAGATTTTTGCTTTAGTTTTTAGAATTTTTAACAAAATCAAGAATTTTACGTATTTTTGTATGTGTGAAAAATAAAAAACAAGATCTTGATTGTGAATGAAGGGATCTTTTTGTAGGTTTCAGCTATTTTTAGTATTTGATCAACAGATATTTTTGGAATATATTGTTGTAATAATCTGACTGTTGGCGATGGTTATTCTCTAAGTGATACACTTGGAAAAACTAATTTCATATATTTCTTTCTCAACCTTTTATAGGTAAAAATTACATTCTAGTTCGATCCATTTGATCCAAAAATTAATAGGAATATTCACTCTTCATAGAACTCCATAGTTGAAAAAAACCCGACTTTTTGACTCTGCAATTTATAAAAATTAAATTTTTCGACTTTAAAATTTAAAATTTTCGTATTTTTTTTTTTTTTTTTTTTTTTTTTAATTTGGCTTTTCGACATTTTCGATTTTTTTCTTTTTTTATTTACAAATTTGATTTGTTTTATACAAGAGAATCTATTTATCGATTAGCTTCAGTCGATTTAATATTATTTTGTTTCAGTTAAATTCGCGGTTTTGTATAAAATAATCTGGCATCTCGGGCATTTGAATAAAACGTTGACGTTGTTTGGGCGAATGTTTTCTACTACAGCGTTGGTGTAAACAATATAAATTGTACCAAACAAACAAAAATGAAAGTACCAAAAAATGGTCCACGTTCTTCTGTTATAGATTTTCTAAAAATAGCAAATTTATTAATATTAAAAAAATGATTTATAGAAAGTTTTCTTCAAAAAAGAAAAAATCTATTTCTGGTATAAAAAGTTCTAAAAAAATCAGCTTTAAAAAAGTAGTTAAAATTTAAATTAATCATCCCTTTAAAAAAAGTTTAAAAAGCACTGCATTTCTATGTAAAAACGCCCTTTAAAGTAGTACCAAATTGTGCCACCCTAAATAACGAAGCAAATAAAAACGATACAGAAACCTGAGCCGAATTAGCATAAAGCCTAGGCGCCGTCGTTGAATATTTATATATAGGAGTTTCACTAAATCTAATGAATTTTGCAATTTCAGATACATAATGGACATTTTGAACGTTTATGTAGCTGGGAAACATTTTTTCTCTAATATAATTTTTATTTCTTTAAAAACACAATAGGATTGTTGATATGATATTCAGAAAATTCGTTTTTATTATGAAAATTTTCTTTAGAAATTAGGAAACAATCGAAATTGAAGTTTTTCATTTTGAATTCAGAAAATCTCAAATGAAAAGCATATTTCTTATATAAATTTATAACAGTATAATAAGAGTTAAGATTTTTCATTTGAATTTCGGAACAGAACAATTAAAATTGAGATTTTTTCATTTTGGATTCGAAAAAAACATTTGAAAAATAAGCTTTTAGTAATATGGATCAAGCTTTTATTCAATTTCTTTTGAAAATTAGAAGCTGAAAACTTAGCCGGTTTACTGCCAATTTTTTGACGCCGAAAAATATTAAATGTCTGTTCCGCCGTTGTCGTCGTTTTTTGTCGGCGCAGGACTTTGTAATGACATTTCGCCGTTTTATTGAATTCGGTGATTTTTTCTATTCATTCTTCGGGAAGAATCAACCAATTTTGCAGTTTTCTTAAAATCAACGCAAAAAAAATATTTTGCAAACTTTTATAACAAAAGGTAAACAAAAATATATACAACGAACAACTAAATATTTGCTAAACTCTACAACTAAAACAAAAGTAAATTGTTAAAAAAATTAACTGATGAAATTGTACAAAAAAGTAAATGACAATATAAATTGTCAAAGGAGCAGAAGAGGGAACAAGAAAAAACGCAATAAAAAACTGAATGAAGGAAAAAACTGCAGTCATAGCAGAAAAGAAAAAGAGAAGAAAGAAGAAAAAAGTTACAAATTAATTTAAATTGTTAATTTTTCTATTCAAAATGCAATCAATGTACAGATTATGACACACAAACATATTAAGAAGAATATAATTTAAATAAATAAATTAAAGATAAAAATAATATCAAGATTTATCTTCTAGTCATACGGCCCGCATTCGGGGGGAAAGACAAAGAACAATGAAAAAATGTGTTTTTCTTATTTGTGAAAAAAATTTAAATTTGTATGTTTTTTTCTTCCTATTCTTGCAGGTCTTCTCCATTAAAAAGAAAATAAAGCAGAGGCAGCAACAACAACAGCAATAAGAAAAATAAAGTGTAATTTAATCAAGTCACTAAATAAATACCAAAGTAAAAGTAAATAGACAAAATAAAACAATAATAACAAAAAATAAAAAAGTGAAAACAAAAGCCAAAGACCCGAGATCTTAGGAAATTAACAAGAAAACATACATAAATAAAACAAATAATACTTAAAAGTATTTACATTTTTATAAATTTCGTGGTCAAGTTTCTGTTTAGCTAAAGGAAGAAGGCAAGAAAAATGGGTGATTCCGAGAGACAAAGTCTATTGAAGAATGAAGATACTTCAATGTATACTTCCGCCTCAACCGGCACCACCACCAATGCTGCCGTCAATCAAGGTGATGTTGGTGTTACAGGCCAACAGCAGCCGTCACAACAGCAACAACCATCAGCAGAAGGTAAGTAGTTCATTAAACTATAATTTGGATAACAGGGAATGTTTACTATAAGTACGTGTAAGTCTACATGTACCATAGACTGACTAGGCGTTGGTGTTTTTTGTTTAAAAATCAAATCATAGGCTATTACACTATGGAGTATACCCTACACTAGTACAGTTATGAGGAGGGATTTATGAGTACAATAATATTGAAGAATGTTTATGTATGGAAAAGAACTTCCCGGTTTAATACTGGAAATTTCTTTTAAATTTTTTTATAATATATCAGAAAACGGGTGCCCCGAAAGGCTAGCTTATCAGCCTGGGGATAGTGGGTTCGATTGTCACAAGAGTCTCTGGTCTGCTTCATTACAACCTTAGAATAGGTAAGAATATAGTTTGCAATTGTATTGTAATTATGCGTTTGAGATAATGTTTGTAACACCCAAAAAATATTGGTCCTACATGCAGAACCCTCCGGAGTGGGCTAACTTATTATAGGTTATACTGCTACTATAAGTTATTGTTATTGCAACTATCAATGTTTTTTACTATTCATTTGTTTCTTATGTTTGGTTATTATTATTGTCACATTTTGTTATTTGACTGAACTGAACGACTGACTGAATGTTTTGAATGTGGTTGGAAACCCGACAAGTGTGTTTGTGCCATTGTGTTGCAATCTTCTAACGAACAACTACTAACAGTCAATAACTGCATATTGTTTGTTTAATTATTTATTTATTTTAAAATTTCAATATTTTTTTTTCAAGCGAAACTACAACAAAAGTATGCTTATGTTTTGCAAAGATTTCTTATTTTGTTTTTTTTCCATTTCAATAAAACTTTGAATTATTATTTAGGTATCAAATTTCTTTCGAATCATATAACTGTAAAGTGTGTTACAGTTATTGTAAATTTTCTTAACTCTTTACATATAATAATACGATTGAAAGGGTTAAGAAATTGCTTGAAAACGGACTGTTTTTGTTATTTGTTATTTTTTATTTTGCAATTTTAATAGATAAATTTTAAACAATTCGATTTCGCAATCATTTCTTTTGTTGTCTAGGGCTAAGGGGTTTTAATTTCTCGATATGATTTAACTCTTCAGATACGAAAATATTCATTTTTTCAGGAAAAAGTTGTTAACCTTTATATAATTTTATGATCATTTTTGAGTTTTTTAATATTTAGTTGTACTAGTGGCAGTAGTTAAAGGGTTAATAATATGCGTAATAACATTTTGTATTCTTCTTTATTTATATCTATATGTATGTATATTTATACAAATAAATCCATAAATTCATTCAAATTTCAGACAATTTCGATTTCGTAAACAAATCCTTTACAACATTTGCTTTTATAAAAAAACATTTCCATACAAAATTTGTTTTATAAACCGTTTATTAAAATAAAAATTTGTTTATAAATGAGAAAATACCGGTAAAAAGGCTAGGAATGGCTTGGACAATACTAACTGCGCAACTCACTTTTATAAACCGGCAAATTTAGCGACTGACTGCATTAACAAATACGATAGAAAATGCATCCTTACACCATATCTAGTTGTAATAATTCTTCATTAAAAGCTCGGGGTATTTCTCTCTTTTAAATTGAATGAAGATTTTTGAGATTGTACCGTGTTCATTTTAGATAGATAGATATATAGAGATAGATAGATAGATAGATAGATAGATAGATAGATAGATAGATAAATAGATAGATAGATAGATAGATAGATAGATAGATAGATAGATAGATAGATAGATAGATAGATAGATAGATAGACAGATGGATAGATAGATAGATAGGAAATACCGGTAAAAAGGCTAGGAATGGCTTGGACAATACTAACTGCGCAACTCACTTTTATAAACCGGCAAATTTAGCGACTGACTGCATTAACAAATACGATAAAAAATGCATCCTTACACCATATCTAGTTGTAATAATTAGATAGATAGAGAGATAGATGATAGATAGATAGATAGAAGATAGATAGATAGATAGATAGATAGATAGATAGATAGATAGATAGATAAATAGATAGATAGATAGAATTAGATAGATAGAAGCTAGATAGATAGATAGATAGATAGATATAATATAGATAGGATAGATAGATAGAGTATAGATAGATAGATAGATAGATAGATAGATAGATAGATAGATAGATAGATAGATAGATAGATAGATAGATAGATAGATAGATAGATAGATAGATAGATAGCTGAAGATAGATAGATAGATAGATAGATAGATAGGATAGATAGAAATAGATAGATAGATAGATAGATAGATAGACTAGATAGATAGATAGATCCTGATAGATAGATAGATAGATAGATAGATAGATAGATAGATAGATAGATAGATAGATAGATAGATAGATAGATAGATAGATAGATAGATAGATAGACAGACAGACAGACAGATTAAAGCTTCCACTTAGAACCCCTGGACCAATCTCATTGTTATAAATAATAACAAACTCGAAATCAGTTTCAATTATTATTTATCTTCAAATTTGAAATTAATAGTATTAATGACTAATTCCAGAAATGTAATCTTTGTATAAATATTAGTGTTATAAATCAGTACTTTATTGCTTTACAAACTATCTAAAATACTTTTTACAACAAAAAAAATATAAACATTTTCTAAACTTTTACAAAACAAAGGAACACTACAGACATTAATTTTCCTATTCAAATGTATTTTCATACACATAGCTAGTCCATTTCTGGAATATTTAATACCGAAAAACTTAGTAAACCATATAAAAAAAAAACATTCAATTGTGTCAACAATATATTAGTTAACCATTAAGAAACAAATTTACAAAAGTACTTATAGACAATGTTATGAATTATCTAAAATCTCCCTAAAATATTGAAATTTTTACTAAAAATATACAACATTTAAAATAACGACAAAAATTAAAATATACAAACCAATCTATTAATAAACTTCAATTAGGTTCACTAAATATTAAATTATAATCCGAATAACACTTTTTAATTGACAAAACTTAAAAAAGAAATATTCTTTATAAACAATTGATAATTATAGTTGATCATTTATTTATTTGTTTATGGACTCTGTGATTTTTAATATATGTAGTTTACGAATTTTACTCCCAAACATTTGTTTTTGTTGTTGTCATATCAAAACACTACTACTTGCTTGTAGGTTTGGGCTGGCTAAAGTTGTGACTCATTTTTTAAGTTATCACGTTTATTATTATTTTTCTGTTTTAACTTTTTTTGTATACAATATAAATGATTGTAAATACATATGTATAACTGTTTACTTGTATTTAGTTTGTGTCTGTATGTTAGTATTGTTTTATTAAATATTCATTTCCCACCCCAACAAAATCAATACTTTCTTTAAGTATTATTTACTAATTTAATACTACTTTCTGCACTGCATTTTATTATTTTTTTTTGTTTTATTTTTCATAACAAAAGACTGAGTTTTTTTTGCTCTTATCACGATGAACTCTTTTTAAGAGTTATAATAATTAATATGTGTATATAGGCAATGACTTTGTTTTTAAAGCCTTTATTTAGTTTGTATATGTTCGCTGATTTTGGCAAGATTTTATGATGGAATAGATAGGGTTTTTTAGTTTTAAGGAGGTATTGAATGTGCTAGATATGTAGATAAGTTTGTAGGTTAGTAGAGATTTACATAGATAGATAGATAGATAGATAGATAGATAGATAGATAGATAGATAGATAGATAGAGATAGATAGATAGATAGATAGATAGATAGATAGATAGATAGATAGATAGATAGATAGATAGATAGATAGATACATAGATAGATAGATAGATAGATAGATAGATAGATAGATAGATAGATAGATAGATAGATAGATAGATAGATAGATAGATAGATTGATAGATAGATAGATATAAGATAGATAGATAGATAGAGATAGATAGATAGATAGATAGATAGATAGATAGATAGATGGATAGATAGATAGATAGATAGATAGATAGATAGATAGATAGATAGATAGTAGATAGATAGATAGATAGATAGATAGATAGATAGATAGATAGATAGATATATAGATAGATAGATAGATAGATAGATAGATAGATAGATAGATAGATAGATAGATAGATAGATAGATAGATGGATAGTAGATAGATAGATAGTGATAGATAGATAGATAGATAGATAGATAGATAGATAGATAGATAGATAGATGGATAGATAGATAGATAGATAGATAGTAGATAGATAGATAGATAGATAGATAGATAGATAGATAGATAGATAGATAGATAGATAGATAGATAGATGATAGATAGATAGATAGATAGATAGATAGAGATAGATAGATAGATAGATAGATAGATAGATAGATAGATAGATAGATAGATAGATAGATAGATAGATAGATAGATAGATAGATAGATAGATAGATAGATAGATAGATAGATAGAGATAGATAGATAGATAGATAGATAGATAGATAGAGTAGATAGATAGATAGATAGATAGATAGATAGATAGATAGATAGATAGATAGATAGATAGATAGATAGATAGATAGATAGATAGATAGATAGATAGATAGATAGATAGATAGATATAGATAGATAGATAGATAGATAGATAGATAGATAGAGATAGATGTGATAGATAGATAGATAGATAGATAGAGATAGATAGATAGATAGATAGATAGAAGTAGAGAGATAGATAGATAGATAGATATAATTACAACAGTTGTTGTCTTTTGTACTTTTATAAATTAAAAATTTAGTTTTTGTTGACTTGGGAAGTCCCTACTGCTTTAAGTTAGCTATAATAACTAAAAAAGCTTTTAAAAACTACAGATGTTTTGTACTTATTACTTGATTGGATTCATAGTTCATAAGCGAGATTACTTAAGATTAACAAATATACTGGCGCTATTCAATCTTATGTATTGAGATTGCAAATTTGTGCTACTTCAGGAATTTTGCCATTACTATGTTTGCTAGAGTAGTTTATTAACCAACTTATCGAATATATAGACATTGATTAATTAAAATTTTATTTATTTGAAACGGATTTTACCTTTTCATTTATGTATACAAAAGCCAGCAGTAGCAAGCTCTAGTTTTTTGATGAATTTTAACAAAGATATATTTATTAAAAAAATTTCTTATTCAAAACAGACTTTAAGGGATCATATTTCTGACGATTACACTACTTACATAAATGATAAACTGAACTCCTACACAAAGTGAAGGACAAGCAAAGAATAAAGAAAAGCTTTAATAAAACTTTTCTTTCTTCTTTTTTAATATATTGATAATAAAATGATCAATTGTTTTAGCATTTTATATATTTAATTCATTCATTTCATTTGTTTATGGCGATGCAATAACATTGGCACTAATTAAAAAAAAAAAAAAACATTAAAAGTTTATTAATCTTTAGCAAAAGAAAAACAAACAGCTTTGTTTGTGGCTTATAAATGAATAAATTTAAAATGTTAGAAGAACCTTATTCATTTGGTAAATTAAAATTGTGGTTTATAAAAAAAATTGTGATATGAATAAAAGCAAAACTATTTTAATGATTTCAAACGAGATAATTTTATTAATATTTTTGTGTTTAATTTTTTTTACAGCTGGTGTGGCACAATCGAATGTACCCTTTATTGGACCCGATGAAGTACCACCACCTTATCAGCAGGGTACAGCTGGTGGTGTACCCATGGTTACTTGTCGCGTATGTCAGGGTATGATTGATATAACCTCGAAGCGAGATCAGCACGTTGTTAAGTGTCTTCAGTGTAATGAAGCTACAGTGAGTGTTTGTTTATTCATATGTTTAAATTTTGATTATTTAATTTTTTCTTTATTTTCCAGCCCATACGTAATGCACCACCTGGTAAAAAGTATGTACGTTGCCCTTGCAATTGTTTGCTCATTTGTAAAAGTTCATCTCAACGCTTGTCCACGTCCCAATTGCAAGCGTATTATTAATTTAGCTCCCAGCCCTGTTACACCACCCGTACCCACTATGCCGGGTATGTGTCGTGTCACCTGTGGCCATTGTTCGGATACATTTTTGGTGAATATTTTGAGATTTGTGAAAAAGAAAAGAAGAGTTGGTTTTAAATGTTTTTTTTTTTATTTCTTCTCTTTACAGTTTAATACATTTCACAATTCGTTGGCTCGTTGCCCCCATTGTAGGAAGGTTTCATCGGTGGGCTCTCGTTTTGCCTGTGGTCGTGGCATAATATTTGTCATTATTGGTTTAATTGTATTATTTGCTGGCATTGGTATAACTGTTGGCACACATAATTATGCTAGGGTAAGTTTTAATGGGAATTTACGACATCAAGGTTAAAAAAAGAATACCGGGCATCTCTAAATGAGATAGCGAGACATTCTGGGATATCGCTAATATGGGTCACTGTTTATAGCAAATGTCGGGATAACTGTATAGCTGATGAATTCTATTAA